CCCGGCCTTGGACACTCCCAGGGATCCAGGGGCAGCCACAGCTTCTCTGGGAATTCCAGCCCAGCCCCTCCCCACCCTCCCAGCCAGGAATCCCTTCCCAATCTCCCCCCCAAATCTCCCCTTTCCCACTGGGATCCATTCCCTGGGGCCTGTCATTCCAGGCCCTGATCCCAAATCCCTCTCCCGCTCTCCTGGAGCCCCTTCAGGCTCTGGAATGTTCTCCAAGCTCTCCCGGGATCCTTCCCTTCTCCAGCCTGGCCATTCCCAGCTCTCCCAGCCCTTCTCTCCCAGCTCTTCCCACTTGTACCTCCCCAAGTCCCTTTGGATTCCCCCCTTGGGTCCCTGCAGCGGGAAAATCCCAGTCCAGGTGGTTTTATTCCCTCTCCCATCCCTGGGGCTGTGGCCAGGGGTGGTTTTGGTGGGATGAGCTGGAATGTCGATCGTCTCCAAGGAGGAGACCTCGGTGTCCCTGGAAACAATTCCCAGAGCATCCAAACCCCCCTCCCAGCCCTGGAATTGCCCCAAGGCCAGCTCGGAGCAACCCGTGGATGGAACGGGATGATCCCCAATGATCCCCCCTCCGGAACCGGGGGCAGATTCCGGAGCCGTTCCCCCGAGTTGGTTTTTTTTTTGAGGAAATAATCCCGACGTTCCCGAGGCCTTTGGCGCCCCCTTATCCCGATCCAAGGGGTTTTTTCCCGCCTTTCCCCAGTACCTGCACAACGAGAAGAAGCTGCTGCACGGGGACATCAAGTCCCCCAACGTGGTGGTCAGGGGCGACTTCGAGGCCGTCAAGATCTGCGACGTCGGAGTGTCCCTGCCCCTGGATGAGAACATGACCGGTGAGCATTCCCGGGAACGCCAGATCCCGGGAATTCCGGGGTGCTCTTGCCGGAGGGTTGTGGAAGCAAAGCTTCCCCGGGAGGGTTGGAATTCCCTGGGAACTCCTGGGAGGGTTAGAATTCCCTGGGAATTCCCGGGAGGGTTAGAGGGTTGGAATTCCCTGGGAATTCCTGGGAGGGTTAGAATTCCCTGGGAATACCTGGGAGAGTTAGAGGGTTAGAATTCCTGGGAGGGTTAGAATTCCCTGGGAATTCACAGGAGGGTTAGAGGGTTAGAATTCCTGGGAGGGTTAGAATTCCCTGGGAATTCCTGGGAGGGTTAGAATTCCTTGGGAATTCCCGGCAGGGTTAGAGGGGGAGC